TTGTCTAGGGTCCAGCTTTACCAACGTGTTTTGTCTAGGGCTCCAGCTTTACCAACGTGTTTTGTCTAGGTCTCCAGCTTTACCAACGTGTTTTGTCTAGGGTTCCAGCTTTACAAACGTGTTTTGTCTAGGGCTCCAGCTTTATCAACGTGTTTTGTCTAGGTCTCCAGCTTTACCAACGCGTTTTGTCTAGGGCTCCAGCTTTACCAACGTGTTTTGTCTAGGGCTCCAGCTTTACCAACGTGTTTTGTCTAGGGCTCCAGCTTTACCAACGCGTTTTGTCTAGGGCTCCAGCTTTACCAACGTGTTTTGTCTAGGGCTCCAGCTTTACCAACGTGTTTTGTCTAGGGCTCCAGCTTTACCAACGTGTTTTGTCTAGGGCTCCAGCTTTACCAACGTGTTTTGTCTAGGGCTCCAGTTTTACCAACGTGTTTTGTCTAGGGCTCCAGCTTTACCAACGTGTTTTGTCTAGGGCTCCAGCTTTACCAACGTGTTTTGTCTAGGGCTCCAGCTTTACCATGCTTTGCAAGCAGTTCACATGTTTTTCTTTTGTTTGAGTGACGCTTGAGTGATCTTCGTCGTCCCACTTTTAGTTTTATTGTGCAGGGGTGGGCCAATCATTCTATGTGTTATCATGTTTTAATAGTACCACATCGTCCCACTTTTAGTATTATTGTGCAGGGTTGGGCCAATCGTTCTATGTGTTATCATGTTATAATAGTACCACATCGTCCCACTTTTAGTTTTATTGTGCAGGGTTGGGCCAATCGTTCTATGTGTTATCATGTTATAATAGTACCACATCGTCCCACTTTTAGTTGTATTGTGCAGGGGTGGGCCAATCATTCTATGTGTTATCATGTTATAATAGTACCACATCGTCCCACTTTTAGTTGTATTGTGCAGGGGTGGGCCAATCATTCTATGTGTTATCATGTTATAATAGTACCACATCGTCCCACTTTTAGTTGTATTGTGCAGGGGTGGGCCAATCATTCTATGTGTTATCATGTTATAATAGTACCACATCGTCCCACTTTTAGTTGTATTGTGCAGGGGTGGGCCAATCATTCTATGTGTTATCATGTTATAATAGTACCACATCGTCCCACTTTTAGTTGTATTGTGCAGGGGTGGG